GCTGCCCCCAGCTTCAAAGCTGTTCATTCCCCCTAAGATAAGCTAAACTTTTCATATTACAAGTAGCTATTTTTAACTTGACCCAACCTATCCAGACATTTCACTTACCACAACACACATCCCTAGCACCTACACTGGACATGATTTTCCCCCCAAAGCCCTGTTCTCTCTATATTTGGGTCTTTGATTTCATTGTATTCTCTGAGGAGAATACCTCTTCTTTTTTCGCTCATTCGTTAATTAATAAAGACAAACACCTATTACATACCTTATCTGTATCAGGCATTGGGGTGTGCCAGGGGGTTGAATGGTGAACCACCTGGACCCGTTCCTGCAAGCGTGGAGTTTGCCCTCCTCTGATGGCACACACCCTCTTCCTCTCAGACTCCGCTCTCCTTGCCTTGGATTTCCCAATGCAATAAGCCCACACTGAGCTGGTTGCGCTGGTTCCTGGAAGACTTGGCCTCTGCACTTGCCTTTGTTGAGGTACTTATGTCACACTTTTTTTAAGCTGCTATTCTCCACTAGACTCTTCCACCAGAGATGCTTAGGGTAAGGAGCAGGTCTTTACATTAACAGACCTTCCTATAATGCCCAGGACACTGGTGGCTATCAAAGCAGATGGAAGGGACTTAACCCAAAGTTTAAGTACCAAGCCAGGAAACGCAGTTTCTAAACATGACTACAGAAAGTTACAGAGTACAAGTATATTCTTTCTGTTTAGGCTTTCCAATTTCTATAACAGTTTTAAAGCCCATTGGTAATGTATTCTTCTGCAATCTACCTAGCATACTGTTAATTTTCTGTTTTGGAAGAATTATTTCTATCCCTAAAGATGCTAGTTTTTTCATAAACATATATTCAATTCCCATCTTTAAAACCCTCATTGTACACTATAACTAATGGCTTAAAACATATCTTTGTATTTGTTTTCTCTTGACAGAGAAATCGCTCTTTCCTTGAAGATTTCTGTATATAATAAGAGTGTTTTCTTTTCCCCATTCGGTTGATGAAATGCATTGCAGCCTGAGGAAGGAACATATGCCCCACTCTCCTATTCTTAATGCCACGGTTACCTTAGGACTATTTCTATGCAGGATTATTTTCCAGTGGTTTGAGATATATTGTTGCCAAAACAACCTAGTATAGTATGTTTATACAAACTTACTCAATAAATTATGTGAGATAGTTTACAAGAGTCTCCTTAGGTCCTCTGATAACTAGAAGGGTTACAACTTTTATATCTGACAGTAGCAACTCATGAATTCTGCACTGAATTTTTTAGTGGCATGGGGACACTAAAGACAACTGGAGTTGACCTAAATTCATAAGCAGGAAGAAATGAGGATACTTCTAATGAAAATCAAGCTATCAGGCCAGCAAAGTTTTAATAAAAAAATAAAATATTATTGTGAGACAGAAATTACATTTCTTTAAACTACATATGCTAAATGCTATCACCAAGATCCTAGTAAAAGAAGAAGATAATGGTGCTGACTTTCAGAGCATAATATGTTATCTCTCAGGCTATCGATTTTGGTCTATCCATGAAGGCTTGCCCAACCATTACACCAGGATCTTCCAAGATGGCAGTGTAACCTCCTCCCAGGAACACATCAAACTGATACCTACAGACAGAGCAAGTCCCCCTGGAGAAAAACTGAGAGCAGACTGAACAGGTTCTGCACAACAAACAGGAGAGAGAGAGAGTACAGAACCAGGTAGGAGAGCCATAGACACTACATTGTGGACACCCCACCCAACACATTGGCCTGCAGTCCAGAGGGATCCTGGAAGGTCCCACACAGACTCACCTGCACTGGGACACATCAGGATAAAACAGTAGTTTAAAAGACACCTAGGTTATACAGGAAGAAAATCCACTTACTAACCATAGAGCATCTGCCAATGAAAGAGGAGCTATGCAATTCTCCCTTGGTTTGGAAGCAGCAGAGCATCATTTGTAGCCCTCCCCTTCCCCCTTGATTACAAGGGCAAGAGCTTAACCCAGGGGCTCTAGCTTCAGGCCCATGCCATTCCAGGGTGCCCAGGCCCCAGGCCCATGGCAAATCTACCACTTATCCCTGGGTCTCCTGCAGCCTGTTCTAGCTCCAGGTTCCAGCCAGCCTGACTAGATTACCCAGGTACTGCTTGCTCCCAGGACTCCTCAGCTTCATACCAGTCCTAGCTACAGCTCCCCAACAAGGTGTGGCTTGTTCCCAGTCTCTCTGCGGCTTTCTCCACCTCTAGCTTCCAGCAAGAGTAACTTGCGTCAGGGACTCTCCTCAGCTTCACACCTGAACTAGCTACAGCTCCAGTCCAGGTGCAGTTTGTCTCCAGGACTTCCTGCAGACCTGCCCATTTCAGCCCCTGGCCACAGTGTGGCTTGCCCCCAGGGCTCCCTGAATCCTGACCCTACTTTAGCTACAATTCTACTTGGTCTGCCAATGTGTCCCATGCACCTTGTTCCCTGGACTTTCCTTGTCCCATGTGCATTCCAGCTACAGCTCAAAGCCAAGTGAATCTCGCCTCCCCCCCCCCCAATTTTCTTTAACCCACAAATGCTAGATCTCCAACTTGCCTGCCAAAGTCACCTGGCTTGCACAGTCTACAAAGGGGTTGGTCCTACAGAGGGCCACTCCTTCAATATCAAGAGAGATTGCTGTTTTACCTAATTAATCAAACACAGAGAACCAAAACGAGCAGAAAATATATTCCAAATGAAAGACCAGGACAAAACTGAAGAAAAATAACTAAATGAAACAGATAAGAAATCTATCAGATAAAGGGTTCAAAACATTTATTATAAGGATATCCAATAAACCTCAGAGAAAAATAGATGAACTCAGTGAGAATTTTAACAAAGAGGTAGAAATCATAAAAAATAACATGAGAAATGAAGAGCACTCAAATGAAAAACACACTAGAGGAATCAACATCAGATGAGCTGATGCACAATGAGTCAGTGATCTGTAAGATAAGGAATTGGAAATCATCCAACCAGAACTGTAAAAAGAAAACAGATTTTTTTAATGACTATTTTTAAGGAACCTGTAGGACGACATCAAGTGTACCAACAATGGAACCACAGAGATCGCAGAAAGAGAAGAGAAAGGCAGAACGAAAATCTGTTTAAAAAAAAATGGCTGAAAACTTCCCCAACCTGGTGAAAGCAGCAGACACCTGGGTTTAGGAAGCACAGAGAGTCCCAAACAAGATAGACAGAAGAAACACCAAGACACATCATAATTAAAGTTAAATCAACAAGGATTCTTTTAACTTCAAAGTTGGAAACAAAGAGACACAAATAAACTTCACTATATATATATGTCGAATGGTAACAACCATATTAAAGAAAAAAGGAAAATAATCCATGAACTTTTAGCTACAGTACTTTCATTACCCTCAGCTGAAGATAAAAGGATCAAGCAAAGAAAACTAACATTTGGTTTAAAAGGTTAGTAGGTTTATTGTTAAAAGTGGTATGGGTATAGCAATTCTGAAGCAAGTTTATGTGTATTGTAGGATTGAACAAAGGAGTAAATAGAGGGTCTGGTAGAAGTAACCCCAATAAAATGGTGAAAGGCCAGAATGAAATGAAATGGCTATTTTCCCCAGTTTGTTTACTGAAAGGACATGAACAATGATACTTCAGTGACAGTGAGCACACCTAGTTTCTAGATATTAGGTTCTACTATCACAACCCACTGAAAAGTGCCAAGGGTCCTTAGAAAAGTGGTTGAGTTCAGAGATGGGGCTCGGAGAGTAAGCTAGGACATTGTGTGCAAGTAAGAGTGACAGGCAGAGCAGCCAGCTTGGAGAGGCTCCTACTGACCAAACTGGGGACAATTTGAGCATCAAAATTGAGTAATGACAGTAATGGATTGTAATCTATGAAAAAATCCACTTGTCCATTGACAGAAGTAAATAAATAAATAAGGGGAAAGGAAAGACCCTTATGATAATAAACGTGGAAGGAATGACAGAATTTTTTTAAAAATCACCAGCTGACTATCATTCTTGTAACTTGATTCAGGCAAGAGCCATCCATTACCATAAGGAGCAGGGTATTCATCCAGCTTCAAATAATCTCCCCACATATTACTTATTAATTAAAAAAAGAAAATTACAAACTTGAAGAACATGTCCAGAACTTGTTGATCAAAGTTAACATCGCCAATATGGAATAAGTCACAGTTGCCTGCCACCTGCTAGGATCAACGCGAAGAACATCATGTTACTTCTGGGATATTCCTGCCACATAAGCATGACCTGAATCTAATGAAGTATCAGAGGAACCCAAATCAAGGAACATTCTGCAAAGTAACTGGCCCCATCTCTTCCAAATGTCAAAATGGAGAAGAATGAAGAAAAACAGATGAAAACTGATCCAGGTGAAAGAAGGGTAGACAGACAGGAAACTGAAACACAACAGGTGATGCTGGACTCAATCCTGAACCTGAACAGTTCTTTCTACAGACAGCAAGGAGGGCAATAGGTGACGTCTGAATAAGGTCTGTGAGTTTGAGAACAATGTTTTATCAATGCTAATTTCCTGATTTTGACACATTGGCATGGTGGTTATTTAAGAGAATGCCCTTAATTTTGAAACATATACACCGAAGTATTTAGAGGTTAAGAAAAAGAAAACCATTACAGGCCCAGTCTGGGCAGCTCAGTCGATTAGAGTGTCCTCCTGATATATGGAGGTTGCAGGTTTGCAGGCACATACAAGAAGCAACCAATGAGTGCATAAATAAGTGGAAAAACAAATCAGTTTCTTTCTCTCTCTCCCTTCCTCCTCCCCTGTCTTCCTTTCTCTCCCTCTAAAGGTTAATTAAGTAAAGAAAAAACATCATTACACTGTGGTCTGACATAGGCAAGCAAAGTATTTTATAGACAAGGAAGCAAGTAATAGTTTTTCAAATGTATGCATATATAACTACAGATCTAATATAATTTCAAGTATAATTATTTAGAAAATATAAATTTTAATGTACCTTTTCCAACTCTATCTTGCTTGAAATTTTCTCTGCATCATTACTGTGTCTGAAAAATAAATTGATCCAGTTTATAATATTATTAAAATGTAATTTGGAAAATCCTAATCAAAATGTCAATATTCTTTACCCTGGAACTGGTTTTGTTTCCTCTTTCTTCTCATTTGTTTCATGTCTATCAACACATTCTAGAAAATATTAAATAAAAGAGAAATAATTTAAATAAAGGATTATCAGTGTGTGTGTGTGTGTGTGAGAGAGAGAGAGAGAGAGAGAGAGAGAGGGAAGGAGAAAGATAGAAGCATTACTAGAAACTGAAAATAAACAAATTTATTTGTACTGTCATAATAGTCATCCTAATAATGTATTTTATAAGCACAAATATCCCCAATATTTTTCACTGCATCAGAGAAGTTTATTAAAATGAGATGCTGTTTCCAAGTAAAATGTAGGAATTACAGATTTCCAATATTATGCAGGAAAATAATTTTAGTAGGAAAGACTACCTGGAGGTCTACTGATAAAGATAAGAGAGTTCCATTAGGCTGCAGGATAGAAGGGGCATGCTTTCTTTGGCTAGAGACTGTAAATTTAATCGTTAATTAAAGTAAGTATATAGGTAGTGTAATTGCCTTGTATAAATAAATACAGAAAGAGGAAGGTTAAATTCTCATCACGGGTGTATGGACAATTAATTCAAAATATAACCCAGAATCCTTGAGTTTATGTCTATTGCCCATGTGACTGGACCCCCTGTGGCCATAGCTACATGTGATACCATCCATTTCCAGTCCATGATTGGTTGATCCATTGACATAAGTCATCTGAGTGTCCTCCACCATTGCTTCAGCATCAATGATCTGCCGCAAAACAGCTTCCACAATGGGCATCACCATGGCAGCAGTTGAGGTGTTGCTAAGCCACATAGATAGGAAGGCAGTACTGCACATGAAGCCCAATGTCAGCCTGAAATGAGAGGACTTTAATATGAGCTGTGCTCCTAGGTTGATTAACTCTGTATTATTTCATTGTGCAGGATGCTGTTCATGAGTTGGAAACTCATTTTTTCCTCTCAGATGACAAAATTCTGGTTACAGTCATAGGCAGTAGAGACCGAAGTGGCAGAGGTAAGAGTGGAGCTCTTACAAGATTTGTCTTCCAGGAAACCACAAAAGTCTTCTCTCCCAAAACAGAATAACAATTAAATGTATAATCAGCCTGCAAGGTGCTAAATAGTATAATAGCTTCTAATACTACACCAATATTTAAGTGTCCTTTCACAGATGACATGTACCTTCAAATCCTAGTAAGATAAGTTGCAATCAACTATTGAATTTAGGATACTTTATTATTTCTTAATCTTTTGGTCACATCTCTCTTTATTAGTATGTTGCCAAGAAGGCACAGTAGAGCAAGGAGAGAGATTAATTTTTATAAATCTGCCTTTTACTTGTTCATCACTTGGGTTTGATATCTGGTGGGGGGAGGAAATGGTTAAAATCAATGGCAAAAATGAGGCTTCAGAATTTTCTGCAGGTTCTATTATTGTTCATGCTCTCCTGAATATGGCATTCCCACCAGTTGTCAAGAACTGGAATTTAGGAAGAAAAATTGTCTTCTTTTAAAAATACAGTTGTTCTTCTTGCTTAAAAATAACATACCTAAAACTACGGGATTTTAAGCCATGTCTATAAGCTTTCAAAATCGCACTTGAGTTAAAACATGATCTGTTTTGAGTTGAAAGTCCCAGAAAAATCTTTCAGAAGCATATCTTCCTACAAGGAACTATTTATTAAATTCTGATTCCCTTTAAAAATAGATCTACTAGAAAAAATTTACACTATAAGTTTCAACTTCAGGAAGGTGACTATTTTCAATGTGTAAAATGAAAGAAAACTTTTTACAAATCTGCTTAAACAAGAAATTATTCTTAATAAAATGAAAACTAGAAGAGGATATGAGGGAATGAATGGGGCTGGAAGGATACTTGACTGGAGGTGGTAATTGGACAATATAATATACAAATAATGTGTTATAGAATTATACACCTAAAATCCATATAATTTTGTTAACCAATGTAACCCCCAATAAACTCAATTTAAAAAAAAGGAAACTAGAAACACTTTTAACATAATGCATTGGTAAGATACACAATTTTTTAATTTAAAAAAAAAGGTTGGAATGAGACAAGTTTTCTGTGTGATTAAAAAAAAAAGCCTTAAATTGAAAAGCCATTTAGTGGCATGAGGGACGGGACTCTTGCTCCACTGTGTAGTGAACTACCCCAATCCCTGAGGTCAATGAGCAGATGGTCGAGGAATAGAGACTCATTCCTGTAGCACCCCAAGAAGCATGGAACACTATTTCACTCATAAAAAAGTGAAATGTCCTTAATACATACATATTTTCTACAATTTTTAAAATAAATATCTTAAAAAGTTTGTTTTATCTGAGTTATTTAATTTCTTTGTATTTAAGCAAACTAATTTTTTTAAGATTTTGTTTATTTACTTTTAGAGGAAAGAGAGAAAGAGAAACGTCCGTGAGGGGTTGCCTCTTGTGTGCCCCCACCAGGAACCTGGCCTGCAACCCAGGCGTGTGCCCTGAGTGGGAACCAAACTAGTGACCCTCTGGTTCACAGGCTGGCACTCAATCCACTGAGCCATGCCAGCCAGGGTTTAACAAAACAACTTGTTCCATAAATGATAAGCGCAGATGTGATTATACCCTAGGATAAATTATACAACAGAATTCAAAAGAATTTTCTTGTTTTCAAAGAAAGATGAGAAGGGAAGAATCACCTAAGGTTTTACAACATAATTCCATTATGCAAATTATTTTGACACTGGAAAGAATTTTTCGCTTATATCTACATTCTGAAGAACTGCAATTAAAACTAAAATAGCCAATTAATTTAATGGAAAAATTCATTTCAATGGGGAAAATCAGTCAAATGAGTGATTTTACATTCTATAGATGGAGTATCTTAATTGATACTTTCACCTTGCAACAGTTCATTTAAAAAGAAAAATGTTTACCTTGGAATTTTTCTGCACATATTTGTATTTTGTTGATAATGTCTTTATCTTTAATTCTTAAGTCCCTCACTGGGATTAAAAATGCTCTTGAATATGCACTCACCCAAATAAACAATATGAAATCTACTCTGAAGTCTATCAGTCCAGTCTGTTGAGGCTCAAGTTTTCTCTCAGCTTTGACTCTTACAGGGTATGAAAGATGAGAGAATTGCGTGCAGTCTCATCGTAATTAGACCTTCAGTGAAGGGAAAGCCTTTTTTCCTTCTACAACTCAAGTACACTTTATATCACTTTCATATTTTCAGGGGAAAAAAGTCATAAATTATGCTGCAATACAAATGATTGCCAGGATATGCATTACGTTTTTCAGTTATTTGCTCTGCAAAAAAAATAATCTGTTCAGAATATAAACCTGGAACAGTAAATGCAGTGCTTACCATTCTGGCTTCACACCCACCATCATCACCATTTTCAGAGCAATCCTTTTGTGCAAATTCCATTTTTCTATTGATGTTGCTAAACAGATGACTCCAATTAGCAGTAGGTGAAAATCTTGGAAATAAGAAGATGCTACCTGAAATTACAATTAAACCCATGATTATTTAGGCTGATGGAGGAAAAATAAAATTACACAAGGACATTATTTCATTGCTCTTAACTCTTGCATTCAACTAAGTAATCTTTCTACTTTGTCAAGAGAAATGTTGATGTGTTTGACTACATATTTAAATTTGGTCTATATCTTACCCAGAAATAGTAGTATTAAGGGAAAATATACAGAAAAAAAGAGTTTCCAGGAATGCAGATTTTTAAGTAGCTGAGTGACATCAGACAAAGGACTTCCATGTCTTAATTTCTCCATCTGTAAACTAGGTCAATTGGTTTATGCTCCTATCATAAAACGTTAATGACTGTGATTTGGGGAGGTTCTGAGTTGAGCTTTCAGCTCACCAATATCTTCATTTCCACTCATATTTTAAACAGTTTCAACTTCAAAATTAGTTATTACAAAATAAATAACCTTCAGTGGAGTTGACATTTTAAGCCATTTTTTGTTAACATCATTCCGATTTAGTAGAGTGTTTACCAAAGTATGCTCTGAAGTATGTCAGGTACATAATATTTTTTCTCAAAAAAATTTTTGTGGTCAAATAAGTTTAAAAAACAGACTTCTGAAATACTAGAATATTCTTTCCTGTAAACCTCCTCAAAACTTTAAAATGTGAACAAATATTGTCACTCTCAAAGTGTGAGATTCCATATATTTCATATTTTTTTCATACTTATCTAATCATAGACACCTTATTTTTAAATTTTTAGGTGAAGTACCTCATGGGAATGATACTGAAGAAACTGACTCTAGGAATTGCTTGGCTAACCTGAATCACAAGGCTGCGCTGAAATAAAAGGATTATAAGAGAAATTATCTCTTTTTTTAAAGATTTTATTTATTTATCTTTAGAAGGGAAGGGAAGGAGAGAGGGAGAGAAACATCAATGTATGGTTGCCTTTCGTGCATCCCCTGCTGGGAACCAGCCTGCAACCCAGGCATGTGTCCTGACTGGGAATCGAACCTCGACTGTCTGATTCGCAGGCCCACGCTCAATCCACTGAGCTACACCAGCCAGGGTGAGAAATTATCTCTTTTTTAAAAATCAATAATATCTAGTAAAGAATGGAAGAGTTGTAACAAAACTATTCTAATATTATGAAAACATAGAGAAATAGGACAATTACCTTTCATGATGATTTTGTTATTTTAAACTACACCTGCATTTTTAATATAGCTTACTAAGCTTGGTTTCATTTAAAAAAATAATTGAAAATTAGCCTTGCATAGAAGTGAACAAGTGGACATCTTTATGATTATCAAAAAAGTGAACTTATCGTGCTTTTCAAAGTTTATATTTATCTCTTTACATTTTGTAGTAATTGTATAACAGAAAGTAAATACATTAATTTTATTTCATTTACTACTTACTCTAACATTGACTAAACATCTACCATGCATCAAAACTGTTACATAAGCAGGGGATATAGGTATCAAATCTGACAGTTTTCCTTCTTCACACCCCTTCAATGCTCAAATATCAAACCTTTCTAAATAGATCCTACTATTTCACTGTGTTGCGGAGCTCTGTTTATTTTCTTCCTAGCATATAACATTGTGTAAATACTGCTTGTTTACCTGCTTGTTGCATTTCTTCTCTATTCCACCACACCTTCTGTTTTACTAGCCATTGCATATTTGGCACCTAGCACAGTTCTGCCATGGAGTAGGAGCTCAGTAAATAGTATTGAATAAATGAGAGGAGGAAGAGAATTAATAAACAAGCTATGGTCACTGAGCTCCTGAGTCCCAACTGCCTACACTCTCTTCCCCAAATTCTATCCTCCTACCTCCCTCAACCCTTAGTAGGTATAAGTATTCTATCAATGTATTAATCTACTAGTGTTTTCAGACCATATTTTCTCCCTGGTTCTATCCCTGCCTCTCTGAATTTTTCTTCTTGGCCTTCTTAGAAAATTACTTTTCTTTTGCTCTTTTCTTAAAGGCTGATATTTGGCAGGGTTTTGTCTGCAGTCCTCTTGTTTTATACACCAATGGTTGAATCTTATGATTTTGATTTCTATTTCTATGTGAATAAAGTAATATCTGGCATCCAGTAGGCATTCAATACATATTTGTTGAATGAATGCTAAAACACTAAAATCTTTACATTCAATCCATTTGAATTTCCCACAGATATCCAAAATCTCAACATACCCCTTTTTGTGGTGATTGAAATTTTTATCTACTTAATTTCTCAGGCCAGAAAACTGAGGGTCGGCCATGACTCCCTTTTCAACTTTCAATACCTGTCTATTAGTCACCAAGTCCTATTATTTCTAGTTCCTTCAAATCTTTTCAATATTTCTACTTTTTTCTCTTTGCACATTATTACCTTCATTAAGCTCCTCATCATTTCTCATATGTTTACTGTATGATCTGTCCTTTTCTAATCCACCCCTTATAATTGTTGTAGTCTTTTTTCTAAAGTGTAAATATGATCACATAATTGTTCTTCTTGTATTTCTTCAGTGGACTTCATGTCTTTTAAGACCAAACCTAATCTTCTCAACATGACTATAAGACTCTTCATCATTTAATTCCATCTCATCTCTCCAGCTTAGTCTTTCAGCTCCACCAATTTCTTCCTATGTGTCCAGTCCCCAAACATAAAGATGCTCTAATACCTGCTTGTCCTTTAACTGGAATGATTCCTTTCTCCCACCTTGGCTACCTCCCATCTTCCTTCATGAATGAACTCAGATGTCAGTTCTTCTAAAATGCCTTCCTTGACCACCCCAGAACAGGTGGGATATCACTTGCTTTTGTAATAGTACATCTTAATCTACATAGAGATCATTTCTTTATTTAACCATCCTTTTCACTTGAATAGACATATTTTGAAGCCACAGATGTGTCTTATCAATCACTATTTTATGGACTTGGCACATACCTGGCACATATTGGCACTCAACAGATGTTGAATTAATTAGTCTAAACTCAAGGAGTTTACAGGTTATTAGACAAGGAAAAAACAAGTTAACAAAGAACATGACAATTATCACTGGTGCATGAGAGCCACATCTTCAAGGTGTGGTTGAGGTTTCAAAGAGTAAGTGGCCACTTTTCCTAAGGGAATTTGGAAAGTCTTACAGAACTTAATACTTGATAATTGTAAGATAAATAGATGTTGGAACTTTCTTCTTCCCTTATTTCTTTTACAGTTTTGTTCATTGAACTAATCCCACTGATCCTATCTTAACAATACTATATACTTAAATGAGATCACAAATGCAGTATTACTTTGAAAACACAAAGGAACACATAGAAGCAAGTCATTTCTAGTAAGTGATTAAACACAGAAATGGTCCAGGACCATGAGACTTGCTTTTTATAATCCCTTTAGATTATACCAGCAGTTGAAAGGTTTTGTCTACAAAGAATTAGATAGTAAATATTTTAGACTTTGTGAGCCTTATGATATCTATCATAACTACTCAACCTGTCTTTGTAGCACAAAAGTAGCCAAAGATAATGTGCAAATGGATGACCATGACTGGGTATGTGTCCAATAAAACTTTACTTTAAAAATTGGGTCACAGGCATCCTCAGACTCCTGGTTCGTCAATTCTATAATAGAACATATAAATAAATCATGGCCTGCAGCCCAACTGTCTAAATGAAATTAGTTGTTAAACCTAAGAAAGGATTTTTGCATTCTCTGTTTTTCATTGTATTACCCATTCTTCATTTTTCATCAGAGTTAATGTATTTGAAGAACATTAGCCACAGGCAGATGTTTGTGTTTATATGCTAATTGTATAGAAGGTAATAAGAGAAGGTGATATTGGTTTGTAAATGACACTGATAAATATAACTATTTTCAAGGAAAAATTAGTATGTCAAATAAAATTCTCAATGAAATTTAAAGTCCATTTGCAACACCAAGATAGTTATATTTCTGTTTGAAATGGGATTTCATAAAAAAAAAAACACATGGGTTTTTGTGATCAGAGCACCTGGGTTCTCTCTTAGTTATGTGACTTATACCAGTTCAGCAACCCTCCTACAAGTCAATATACTTACCCATGAAAGTCAATACTTCACATCAAGTTTGTGAAATAAATGAGATATGTGTCCTTTTTTCAGTTCTAATGTGTACATTTATAAAGCCTATATTTTGATAATATGTTTAAGAGAATATTTACTTGGGTTGATGAAATGGTCAAATTCCAGTTTTCACTTTAATTGACCTACTAGAAGATTTGACATATTGGATCATTGCCTCATTCTTAAAACATCTGCTTCACTCACACTTCAGAACCCCACACTCATGTGGTCTTCCTCCTACCTCAATAGCCTACTGTTCTCAGTCTTTGCTAGCACTATCTCTTCTCTTAATGCTGTAGCTCAGTTGGTCCTCTTTTCTTTTCTCTCTTCACTCACTCTCTAAATGTTCTCATCAAATCTTAGGGTTTTAAACACCATGTATGTGGTGAGGACTCTCAAATCTACATTTCTAGCTGTTATGTCTCATGAACTCCAGACTCATTTGTTTCTAACTGCCTACTCAATGACTTCACTTAGATGTAAAGGAGGTCATTGAAACTTAATGTCCAACACTGAACTCTAGTCATCATTCTCTCCCCTGCAACATGCCTATTTTGTTCATAGTCTTTATTCCAATTGATGGCAACAACGTTTCTACAGTTGGCTGATCAAAACTGTCAGGCTTTTACACTCCTTCCATTCTTTCATGTGCCATATCAAATCATTCAGGAAATTATTGATAGAACATCAATAAAAATAATACATTCAATATCCCTATTACTATCCCTGGTCTGAATTACCATTGCCTCTCACCTGGATTATTGCAAAAACCTACTAGGTAGTAGTTTTTCTACCTTCTCAACATGTTATCCTTTTACAGTAAAAGTCAAATTAAATCAATCATATCACCCTGTTCCTCCAAGCTCTTTAGAGGGTCTAACTTCATTCAGAGTTAAAACCTTATTGTGGCCTACTTTGGCTCTACATGGTCCAGTTTCTGTTCACATTATCTCTCTGACATCATCTTCTATCATTCTCTCCTTCACTCACTCTGCTCAGTCACACTGCAGACATATGTGTGCCTTAATTAAGGTCTTTCCACTGGGCATTTCCCCTTCAGCAATAGTTGTTCTCCACATTTGCAAATGGCTCACTTACTCATTTCCTGTAAATCTTCATTCATGTATGGACACCTCACTGAGGTCTACTCTGCCCATTCTATTTAAAACTGCAGCCCTGGCTGGTGTGGTTCAGTGGATTGTGAAGCAAAGGGTCACTGGTTCAACTCCCAGTCAGGGCAAATGCTTGGGTTGCTGGCCAGGTCCCTGATAGAGGTCATATGAGAGGCAACCACACACTGATGTTTCTCTCCCTCTCTTTCTCACTCTCTTCCCCTCTGTCCAAATATAAAATGTTTTAAAAAAACTGCAACCCTCTCCTGATCCTCATTCTCCTGTTGCATTTTTTCATAGCCCCAATTACATTCTATCTCCCTAAGTAATTTACCTATTCATTAAGGCATATTTTTTGTTGTCTTGTTTCTCCTTAGAAAGACAGGGATTTTTTTTAATTTGTTTTACTCATTGATGTATTCTGAAATGCCTGGCAGAATCCTAGGGCATAAATATTTATTAAATAACTGAGTAAAACATGTAATATAATATTTTATGATACATATGTGTATCTTTACATTTATAAGTCTCAAATGTATATATACATGTGTTTTTAATAATAATAATAAAACTATTGTAGGACACCTAATTGGGCACACTAAATATTTAGCACTTCCAATTTTATTTAACCAATGAGAGAAATTTCAACTTGCTGAGATTCTTCTATACAGAAATCAGTTCTGTAAGATACAGGTATTCAACATATGCTTGATAAGTAGACAAAGTAAAGTTGAAACTGTGGTGGCTAAAAAGAGAGATGTGTAGGGCTCTGAACCTAGATAAAGATATTATAGACATATTGTTCTCTTCAATGATAAGAGTTAAGATTCCAAAATGCTGCTGTAGGCTAGAATGATAGTTTAATACTATCAAACTTGAACTGTGAATACTAAAGTGCATAAGAATATTTAATACTTAATTTGTGCTATTGTGTTATATATATGATTTGATTTGGTTGTTATAACCACTGTGTGTCATTATCATTCCTCACTTACAGATGAGAAACAAAGTTGTTAAAGGACATGATCAGGATCACACAAGTAGTTTCTGGTGAATATATGATTTTAAAGCTTAGGTCTTCTGACTAAATCTCTAGCCCTTTCCTGGCAGCTACTTCTGAGTAAATATTTTTCAGCTGTTTCTGAGTTAAAGGTCAGTTGCCCTGTCTGGACAGAGCATCACAAGACTGAAAAACAGTTTTCTCCACTTCCTCCAAAGTCCTAAGGACTTTGATTGTTTCAAGTTCCAGTTAAAGTTAAGAGGAGGAAAAAATTTACAAAGTTTAAAATGAATTTAAGCTGAAATACCTGAGGGGAGATGATAAACTCACTTTGCCTTTGCAACAATCAGAATGTTTCTAGAAGGGGCAGCTGTCAGCCCCATGGGGAGGCAGCTCCCTGGGCCTACGGGGCAGCTGCATCCAAGACCACCTGCTTCTGGAAGAAAGAGCCAGACTTCTCAGAGGTCAGTCTGTTCAATACAGGGTGAGTGCAGGGTCAAGGGCCCTCAGTATGTTCAGCAAAGAGAACTTGCAGTGTGACCTCCCCAAAGGATGGCTCCATCTCCATTCTGAGTTCTGACGATGCCACCACTTGTCACATTGTGGTCTTGAGGCACACAGGTAATGGGGCTGCCTCTTTGACACATTGTGATGGAACCTATACCCCAAGCTGCAGTCCCCTCAATCATGAACTCCGTAAAATTCCTTTCCAACCATGCTCAATGTCCAAGTCTGGACATACACCTCATGGGTGGCTTCAGTGAGGACTTGCAGTTGTCACAAAAACTTACTCATCAACTTCTTAGTGAATTTCACAGACAAGAAGATGATACTCACTTAGTGACATCATGTGTGACAAAATTAAATGACCTGGAAGAAAATAAAAACCACTTTCTAATAATTTATGGCCTTGCTATGAACATTAAAATGCAGAGATTTATAGAGCCTTCTTCCAAGATTGGGGTCGGAGAGGAACTCTGTATTACATGAGAGCATTAACAGGAAGACCAATGATTATTATTCACAGTGCAAAGACACAGATTTGCGTAGGACCAAACTCCTGTATGTCACTTCCACATGTGGATTTCTGTACAGCAAGATGACAAGCAAATACTAGAGAACTTTTCCAGTTCACCTCTGGCTGAGATCCCTCACTTCGTGGAACATACTGGATCTACCTGATGTTTAAAAAAACTCCAACAAACATGCTATATCATGGAAATAGAGTTTAACTCTACAAGAAAAAAAAATGAAGATGGCTTATGGGAAAAACTTCTTTCTCCAAGAAGCTAAAAACAGGAATTACTGAAGAAAGCAACTTTTGGCATGACAAAGACCATTGTAGAAGATTGGATAGAATATGAATTTACAGTCTACATCCATTGAGTCCTAGTGTCTTTCAAATGACTTTCAAAATAAAATCTTATTTTGGCAAAGAAAAAAACAAAAATAGTCCTACAGTGATCTATTCACTTTTGTTGGTATACAAATAATAATAATACTAAAATTGACTGCTTACTATGTAAAGACACTGCATTTATTAACTATTAAATACTTAAGTGTCATTGCAAACTAGAGGTAGTTTCTGTAAGATAAAGAAGATGATGGTGACAATTGAAGTTGGGGTGCTGGGGTAAAGGAAGGGAATTGGGGTCTGGAAACCATAAAGGCTGGAGGTGGGAAAACTTGAAGGGGATACTATATTTATTTTCAAATCTAAGCAACACTATCATGTGAGAGAAAGATGAGGTTTAATTTGCAGAATCTTTGCTGTCAGATAAAAGTTTAAAGAGTCAAAGTGACTGAGTTTCAGACTTTGGCTCAATACAGTTGGAGTCACTTAAGTGTTAAAATGATTTAAAAATGGTATTGATTTTCTTGTGAGATATATTAGGCCTGCACAGAGGAAGCCTTTAAGCACTTCCTGAGTCATCTCATTTGTAAGGGGTATTGTGGAGGAGATTCCTTGGCTAGAGTAGAATGAGTCAGAAAAATTCCTTTCCAAGTCTAAGATTCTGCAACTATTAATTTATCCTGAGGCTGGCATATTGGGAATAAAGGACTTCTGGACAGCAATCAGCAGCCCGAGTAATGCAACTGTCGTGGGTGCCTAGAATTTTGCTGCCTCTTGTGGAGCCTCTACATCCTCAAAAGAGGCAGAGCTCTTTCTTTAGCAGTTTCCACAAAGCCAGGCCTTCCTAGGTACCCTTTTCCTCCTTTCTCCCTATAACCTGCTTGCTATGGAAATGCCCCATGATTCCAGTTAATCTTGCTTCTATCTAAGCCTCTCGTAAAATGCTGATTCAGTCATTTTGATTATTATTAAGTCATAAGAGACAAATATGTGATGATTAAACTTAATTATCTCTGACAGTGGGCCCATACAAACCAGCTAGACAGGGGTTACTAATTTGACAGCTTATTTTTTCAGGAGTTGCCAAACCCTTCTTCTTATAGCTTTTGTATTGATAGTCATATAGCACATTGAGACATTTGAACAACTTAGTTTATAGCTCCTGGATTTGGGGGAGAACAAAGCTTAAGTCTGGGGGTGAGAGGAACTAAAGTTCTGTGCTAGTTACATTCTTCTAAATCACTGGTGCCTGGGAGGAATGCAATAAGAAAAGAGGAGCAGGAAGGATCAGAAATGCAAAAATTAAAAAAAAAGAAAAGGACTCCAAAATGGGCAGGAAACCTGAAAATAAGGAAAGGAATAATATAGCTTCTCCCATGGGGTCGACATGGGGAGGAGGCAGTACACTGTGTCCCAGGTTAGTTAAAAAGAAAATCTTCACCTACTTTATAAAACAGATGGGCTCCATGATAATAAGATTTAACCCTGGCAGAAGAAAGAAGCCCAAAGGTAAAAAATTGCATAGACTAGCATCTTGAACTTGACATCTTTCCTGAGAATGTTGTGGCTTTGGTTTAGGCAGTTGTGTACTGAGTTAGCTGCAGACTGTGTGGAGATAAGGTATTCTAGTTTAATACATTTCCCAGTTTTAATGGGAAACTGAATTCACTTTCTTCAGATGGTACCCTTAGGTTGCATACAGGTAAGAAGACCTCTCAGTATGAATAAACTCCTCTAAGCAAAAACAAAATAGAAACACATGTAAAAGTTAATTTGGCATTATCTTTTTTAAAAAAATTTATTTGGTTATTTTTCAAGTACAGTTTTCTGTCTATTTCTCCCATCCCAGCCCACCCCGCCCCGTGCTCCCCACTTCTCTCCCATTTCCATCCCCCTTAGTTCTTGTCCCTGTGTCCTTCATATTTGTTCCTCCAAATCCCTCCCCTATGGCAGATATCTGGAAAAGAAAACATGGACACTTTTTCTTAGTAAAAACAAAAATTACTTTTCCACACTGTGTGACACTGAATTCTGCTATCTACAAAATGATTATGCAGGTTGTGAAAGAATTTGCCCTCTTGTTGGGAGTGATGCACCAGAATATGTCAGTCTGGGAAGATTGGACACATTTCTCCTACTCACACACACACAACTCAAGAAACTGCAGCCTGTGTTTTGTTCTCGTCCACCTAAAGGAGGCTACACACGCTGAGAACAGAAACAACTGGAAGTTTGGAGGACTTACATGGAAGCATTATTAACAGGATTATTGCTCCCTTTGAATATAACTTATTTAATGAAAATATCGGCAGAAAACAAGGAGTCTAATTATGACAAATAATTGTAAGACAACTTACCTTTGAAGATGTCATGATCCCAAGCAATGGGAGCATTAGACCAGGCAGCAAAGCTGTTACAGACAGAGGCAAAAGTTCTGTAAGCCAAAATATGGCAACAATAAAGAGTACGTAGGCACATTTTGCTTCCTGGAAAGACCAAAACACAAGGTGAAATAATGAGGCTGGGCAATGATCATTCATATCACAACCACATTTGCTAAATGGAGCTATGTCACAGAGAAAGTAAGGAGAAACTCTGAGCCCTGCCCAGTGTGGTTTGCTTGGTTGAAGCACAGTCGCATAAACTGAAAGGTCATGGGTTCAATTCCCAATCAGGGCACATACCTGAGTTGCAGGTTCAGTCCCTAGTCTAAAGATAAAAACCCTTGCAGGTGTTTCTCTCTCTCTCTCCCACCCTTCCCCTTTCTCTAAAATCAATCAGCATGTCCTCAGGTGAGGATAAAAAATAAAAGAAAAATAAAAAACAAGCAACTCTGGGGCCTCCGCTCTTTGATTTGGGCAGTAAACTGTCAGTTTTTAGGGTTTCCAAGAGCCAAAATTTAGTACATGTGAAAAAACCAAAACATTTAAAAATCGTCATTCTTTAAGTTTCCTTCACATTTCCTTCAAAACAGGTAACGGCATATAGTCAACTTTCTGTGCCCATCCCAGTGTATATGTATGCTACTTCCCAACTCAGTTGGCTGATGAAATGCACTCCCAGTTTTACGGAGTGCAGAAATGGCCAAGTTACTGCCTTTCCTCTGGGGCATCCGACTTTAAATTGTATTCCTTGCTGCCTAGTTATTTGGGACCCCACATACACATGCTTTCCCTTCCTTCTACTAAAAGGGGGAAATCAACCTAGAAGAAAATTTTCACTCTACTTTGTTTCAAAGGAAGACAATGCCAACCTATGTACCATGGATGAGACTGAATTAACTCTTAAATGATATGAACCTGGAGGTGAAGAACCTTCTGCCTTGCTTTTTAGAAAGACAGCTGACCTCCTCAGGAGACATGGAGACCCTCCAGGACTGAGACACTTATTAGAATTTGCTGCTTTGTTAGGTATAAAACTGCAGGTCTCTGTTTATGGGCATTGTTAAGAAATTGTTGTTGAGATCTACAATGGCATAGGAGTAAGTGGAAGCTGCACTAACCTCCTTACAGAGCCAGGAATTACAACTAAATTAAAGAGAAATTGTCCTGAATAACCAACTGAATACTAACTGGATAGAAGCCTTATAACCAAGGACAAATGGAGGAAACCACTTCACCACAAGACTAGAGGCACAGGAGGGCAGGCTGGGCTCCCATGTGCTGCAGCTGAAGTTCCAAAGAGATATTTCAGTGGCCAGAGGGCTCCTCTCTGAGAACTGTGGGGACTAAACCCCAAGCCAGGGATCCCCAGCCTACAGTACCAGAGCCAGGGAAGAAACCCAAATAACATCCAGCTCTGAAAAGCAGTGGGATTTCTTTCCACCAGGGAGAGATAGTTAGAGACATAAAATCCTCTTAAAGGGCCAGCAACTCTGGCCCTTTAAATCCTCTTAAGAGTCAGAGAAGGACACTATATAATCATAAAGAGAACAATCCAACAAGAGGCAATAACCCTAGTAAACACTGATGCATCCAGCACAGGAGCACCTAAATATGTAAAACAACTCCTGATGGACATGAATGGAGAGATCAACAGAAGCACAGTCATGGTAGGGGATTTTAATACCTTATTGACTTTAAATGATAGATCTTCCAGACAGGAAATCAAGAAGACAGCAGCCATAAACAACACCCTAGATAAATAAATTTAATTGATATCTTCAGAGCATTTCACCCCCCAAAGCAGAATATACATACTTTTCAAGTGTACATGGAATGTTTTCTAGGATAGACCATATTTTAGAACACAAAAGAAATCTCAATAAATTTAAGAAGACTGAAATCATATCAAACATCTTCTCTGACCACAATGCTATGTAACTAGAAATCAATCACAAGAAAAACATGGAAAAACATGCAAGGACATAGAAGCTAAATAACATGCTATTAAACGATGAATAGGTCAACAATGAGATAAAGGAAGAAACTAAAAGATACCTGGAAACAAATGAAAATGAGAATACAGCAATCCAAAATCTGTGGGACACTAGAAAAGCAATCCTTAGAAAAGAAATTCATAGCATTACAGGTCTAGCTCAAAAAAAAAAAAATCCCAAAAAGTTTAAATAAACAATCTAACTTTAAACTTAAAGGAACTTGAAAAGGAATAACAAACAAAGCCCAAAGTGTGTAGAAGGAAGAAATAGTAAAAATCATAAAAGAAATAAACAAAATAGAGTCTAAAATATGATACAAAAGATCAGTGAATCCAAGAGCTGGTTCTTTGAAAAGATAAACAAGATTGATAAACTTTAACCAGACTCATCAAGAAGAAAATGAGAGAGAATACAAATAAATAAAATCAGAAATGAAAGAGGAGAAATAACAACAGACTCAAAGAAATACAAAAGATTGCAAGAAAATATTTTGAACAACTATATGCCAACAAACAGCACAACCTTGCTGAAATGGATAAATTCCTAAAAACATACAATCTTACAAAATGAGATCAGGAAGAATCAGGGAACCTGAATAGACAGACTAACTCAGTGAAACTGAAGTAGGAATGAAAGAACTCCCAAGACTTCCAGTTAGGATGGTGGCATAGGTGACACACTTTGCCTCCTACTGCAACAAAAAGAATTACAACTAACCTCAAAACAAAAATATACTCAGACCTGCCAGAAAATCGAACTGTATGGAAGTACAACCACCGAGGACTTAAGGAAGCCATATTCATCCAGGCAGGTAAAAAGGGTAAAGACACAGAGCTTTGGTGGAGAGGACATGAAGTAGTGTGGAGAGGTGGTGGTGACAGCAGCAGAACAGGTGGTTCATATTCACATGTGGTAGATAAAATTAGGATGGACACCTTGGTAGCGAGTGATCCCAGCCCCAAACTAGACTGCACAGCCCAGGGCTCCAGCTCTGGGAAGATAAAGCCCTATAACCTCTGGCTATAAAAACAGTGGGGGCTGAGGCAGTGGAAGGTACTGCCAGTTTCTCAGGAGGGCTCATTAAAGGGCCCAACAGGACTTAGAACATATGCAAACCCACCCACTCAGGGACACACCACAAGGATAACAGCTGGAAGGGCATGTCACATACGGAAAGTAGGTGAAGTGACTGGAAACGGGACAAATGCCAGGCAAACTGCCAGAAGCCAGGCAGCAGCACTGTCCTCTCTCTGACTCCTCCCCCTACACAGAGCCACAAAGCAGTGAGGTGGGTTGCCACACCCTGGTTAATACAGCAGGTTCCACCCCATACTACTTAATAGGTGCACTAACACAGGGACTCAAAGCAGCTCTACCTAATACACAGAACAAACACAGGGAGGCTGCCAAATTGAGAAGACAAAGAAATATGGCCCAAATGAAAGAACAGAACAACACCTCAGAAAAAGAACTAAATGAAACATACATAGCCAACCTACCAGATGGAGAATTCAAAACACTGGTGATCAGGGTGCTCAGAGAACTCAATGTGTATGGCAAAAACATAAGGAAAGAAATGAAGGTTACACTGAATGAAATAAGAAAAATCCATAGGGAACCAAGAATGAAGGGAAGAAAGCTAGTATTCAAGTCAACAATTTGGAACATAAGGAAGAAATGAACAGTGAACTAGAAAAGAATGAAGAAATAAGAATTCAAAAAACAAGGAGAGAATAAGAAGACTCTAGGACATCTAGTGAAGTGCCAACATCCAAATCATAGGGATTCCAGAAGGATAAGAGGAAGAGTAAGAAAAAGAAAACTTAATTTGAAAAATAATGAAAGAAACTTCCCTAATTTGGTGAAGGAAATAGACATACAAGTCAGAGAAGTACAGAGAATCCCAAACAAGTTGGACCTAAGGAGGACCACACCAAGACACATCATAATTAAAAACGTTAAAGGTTAAACATAAAGAGAGAATCTTAGAAATAGCAAGAGAAAAGCAGAGAGTTACCCACAAAGGAGTTCTCATAAGTCTGTCAACTGATTTCTCAAGAAAAAGTTATACACAAGGAAAGACTGGCAAGAAGTATTCAAGTGATGTAAAGCAAGGACCTATAGCCAAGATTACTCTATACAGCAAAGCTATCATTTAGAATGGAAGGGCAAATAAAGTGCTTCCTAGACAAGGTAAAGCTCAAGGAAATAATAATCATCAAGCCATTATTACATAAAATGTTAAAGGGACTTACTTAAGAAAAAGAATATCAAAACTATGAACATTAAAATGACAACAAATTCACAACCATTGACAGAATTTAAAAAATAAAACCAGCCCTGGCTGGTGTGCCTCCATGGATTGAGTGCTGGCCTGTGAACCAAAGGGTTGCTGGTTCAATTCCCAGTCAGGGCAAATGCCTAGGTTGTAGGCCAGGTCCCAGTGGAGGGTGTGCTGGAGGCAACCACACACTGATGTTTCCCTTCCTTCTCCTCTCCAAAAATGCATAAATAAAATCTTTAAAAAAATAAAAACAAACAAAACTAAGCAAGTTACCAGAAGAAGAACAGAATCATAAACACGGAGATGATTTGGAGGGTTTTAGCTGGCAAGAGAAAGGAGGAGATTGGGAGAAAAGGTACAGAAATTAAGAAGCATAATTGGTAGGTACAAAATAGACAGGGTATGTTAAGAATAGTATACAAAGTGGAGGACCCAAAAAAACTTACATGCATGACCCATGGACATGAACTAAGGGTAGGAATTGTTGTAGGGAAGGGGGGTGCCAGGTAGAGGGGAACAAAGGGGGAAGAACTGGGACGACTATAAAAGCATAAGCTATAAAATATACTTTAAAAAGCTCCTAACAAACAAAAGCCCTGGACCAGATGGCTTCATGGGTAAATTTGTGCTAAACATTCCCAGAATAACTAACACCTTTCTCAAACTATTTCACAAAATTCAAGAATAAGGAAGGATCCCAAGCTTATTTTACAAGGCCATCATTATCCTAATTCCAAAACCAGATAAAGACACTACAAAGAAAGAAAATTATAGGCCAACATCGCTGATGAACATAAATGCTAAAATCCTCAACAAAATATTAG